GCAGGCACTGATGCCAAGGGATTACTTTGACTTCCAGTCATCCAGAGCCAAACTTGCTTCCAGAGTTCCTGTTATGTGCAATCAAGTTTGCATCCTTTTGATGGACTCTCCCAGCATCTTCAGTCATCAAAACAGCAAGGGCTGTGGATCTTCTGATGTGCAGAATAACAGAGAAGATTCACATAAGCAACATAAATTAGGCACTTTTTGGCCATATGATAGGAAACCATCCTTCTGCCATGTACAGGTTACTCTTCCATCGAGGTAATTCCTTGGGACCAAATGGCACTGTCCCAAGGGGCACGTTCATGGCCACTTCCAGCTGCAGGAGCAGCTTTCCCATGGGAGATGTGTAGGGGAGTTATGACTTCCTTGAGAGCATGTCTTGAAACAATGAAATCCCTTTAAAAGTAGCCTCCCTTGGTGAAAACCAGCACACAAGGATAGAATAGCTCCTCGTACTGTGGTACTTCGATCTCACCACTGAAAAAACAGTCTTCAAATCAACACAGGAAGCAAATACAGATACGACTGGGAATGTAGGAACAATGTATTTTATGGGAGAAATCCTGTCCCAGGCTAAGATCTCAAAATTCCCAGCAATTGAATTGAAGCCCAGTTTCATAGCAAGTGAGTATTGCTCGCATAGGAAATAAAATAGATTCAATGTTCCTGACACTTGGCTCAGAGGGGAGACTTCTGCAAAACCACAGTGTTCCTTTGTGAAGCACAGGGAGATATTCATGTAAAACTGCCTTAATCACCTGGGTAAACAACATGAAATAGGAACACGTGAGAGATCTTAGAAACTGGAAATATATGGCACTTTGAAAGCGCATGCATGTGGAGAAGAAAGAATAGATTTCATAGACTGCTTTATCATCACAATTATTGATCATGCATTAAATACTCAGGACTCGCACACAAAAAACACGGATTTCCAGAATAATAGAAAAAAAATTCAGAACTTCATCTACTACCTACTTCCTTTCAGAAATAAAAATACATCTTCATTACATTTGAAAACTGTTACATTTTAAAATGTTCTTTAATTCAGAGCAGGTATTTTTGTGTTCTCAGGAAAAAAAACCACCTGGCTGTAGCACATTCACAAAAGCCACCTATTGGTTCAAACAAGAATGTCATTTTTAATCTGAGCAGCATTCAGAAGACAGAATTTTTTTCAACTTCAGTATAAGCAGCACAATGATTTTTTTATTCCGTGGACTTCAGCTGAACCAGCCCCTTAAGCATTTCTATGCCAACTTTTGTATTTGGTACTTGCACATCACCTGAAGGAGGCCTTCTGCCTTGGGTTAAGTTACAAGACATGTGAGGCAGAGATGGTTTTGTCCAAAAGGTCTCTTTCTGTACTGTTTTCTATTTAACATTTTTGATTTGCTTTTTTATCAGCCTTCGAAGAACAGAAACAATGCAGGAACCAAGCCAAGGGCCCATCTCAGCTGATGACTGATTTCTTATGTACAAGCTCAAAAAGGAGGGAAGACGCTGCTAGTAGTAAAGACTAATTCTGCAAGCACCCAAAATCACAGGCAACACTAGCAAGTAATTACCACTCCAGCACATTTTAAATATACCCGTGGAAAGAATCAGAGGAGCTGCAAATACTTGTAATTACAATAGCCTGCTACACTATAAGATGCTTAATTTTGTGTTTGTTTGTTTGTTTTTAAAGTAATGGTAAGATTAGGCACGTGTGGCACATTTAAATGAACAAGGAAATCAGTTGTGCTTGGTTGACATTTTATCAAGAGGTGGATTCCTCCCTGCCTACAGGGAAGCATGAGCTCCTTGAGCAGGGTGAGGCAGCCAGACAAAGGACGCTCTATGAAGGACAGCAGTGAAGCCGTACTCTGTGCATCTGGATTTTGTTGCTTTGCATTAAACCAAGTGGCTTAAAGCTACGATCCGGAGCGTTATCTGCTGAGAGCAGAGCAGGCCCTGCTGTGGGTGCGAATCCCAAGAATGGGAACCCTTCCTCTAGGGACAGACCGGCACCCACAGTGCGTGTTCAGCACGGATGAGGTGCCCGGATTGAGGGCAGCAACAACAGGAGAGGGGCGATGGGCTGGACGGGGCTGTCCAGAGGACACAGCCACAGAGGTCCATTTGCTGTGTTTTAATTTGAACCATCATTTGCCACTACAGCCTTTAAGCAGGCTGCCATCCGGCCCGCACTCTCCTCCCTGCTGCTCCCTACATGAACACATCTCCCTCTATTCTTTCGTTTTTCTCCCTTTTGGTATTTATTTTTTCCTCTCCCCATCACCGCGTTCATGCGGAGCGGGGCTGCTGATTACAAAGAGGCAGCCTGACTCCGGCAATAGGTCTTCTTCACTAATCCTCACTGTCACTGAAATTCCAGCTGCTACCAGAGTAAGAGGCTCAATCCATATTTGCCAGCTCTAATATGAAATCTGTCAGGGCCCAAATTAATGAGTTCCAAATTCCTTACATCACGATAACAGGTTAAGACTGGTCAATTAATTACATAAATCCTGCCCGGTGCTCCCAGGCACCATGGCTTACATCACGGGGAGCGTGGGAAGGCCCCCCAATCAAGCAAGATAGAGTAAAATAAACCAAAACAAAGAAATACAATATTTTGTTTTGCTTCGCTTTGCTTTCTCTGCCGGCAGGGCTGCGGGGGCCACGAAGCCGCCGCACGCCGCCATTTGCGCACAGACACAAGCGCTAAAAGCGCCGCAGCCCCGCGCAGCCGCGCAGTCACCGCGAGGGCGCCGCCCGCCCCGCGCCTCTCGCTGCACCGCAGCGCCCCCTGGCGGCGCGGAGGGACGCTCCCTCTGCAGGGCGGGGGGCGCGGAGCCACCGCCCCCTTTGTTCCCGCGCGGAGCCCCCTCCCTCTCTCCCCTCTCCGTTGCCACGGGTTGCGGTTGCCACGGGTAACCGCATGGCGGCCGCGCGCCTCCAGCAGGCGGGACGCGGGCACACACGTGCGCGGCCCCGCAGCGCGGCGAGGCGGAGCGGGCGCGGCGGGCAGGTAAAGCGCTGCGCGGCGCCGCGGGACGGGCAGGGAGCGGCGCTCCGGCGGCATCGGGGCAGCGAGGCCGGGGACGCTGCCTGCCGGGGGAGAGGGCATCTCCCCTGATTTTTTTTTCTTTCCTCTTTCCTTCTTTCCTTCTTTCTTTCTTAACCTTTTTTTTCTGTTTGTTTT